TAATCACCATTCTGACTGGCATGAGATGGTATCTCATTGTGGTTTTGATTTGCATTTCTCCGATGATCAGTGATGCTGAGCTTTTTTTCATATGTCTGTTTGCTGCGTAAATGTCTTATTTTGAGAAGTGCTGCCATTGACTATCTTTTCTAAAGTTTATCAACCAATGGATTTTCATTTCTATGAACTACCCATATTTTTATTGGGCTGTTTTTTTCCTTACTGATTTGCTTCTTTTTCCTCCTTAATTCTGGATTCTAATATTCTGTCAGTTAATGGACTCCAAACATACTCCTAGGTTGTAGTTTTATCTTTGTATTTATTTACAGTATCTTTTGCCGCACCAAAGATTATAAATTTTAACAGTCAAATCTTACACCTTTATCCTTCATGTTTTGAATCTTGCTAAAGACATCTTTCCCTACTCAAAGTTCATGAAAATAGCCTCCTCGATTTTCTTATAAAAGGTTACCTTTTCAAATTTAGATATTTAATAATCCTATAATGTTTGACGTGTGTAGTAGGATCCTATGATTCTATGCTCACTGTTACTATTTTATTTCAGTCTCTCAATCCCTCAAAAGTAATCAACTATGGTGTTAGAAGTCAGGACAGTGGTTACCTTTTTTGCTTTCCCTGAGACTGGGTCTCACTCACTCTGTCACCAGGCTAGAGTAAGTACCATGGTACTATCATGGTCCACTGCAGTCTTGACCTCCTGAGCTCAAGGAATCCTCACATCGGAGCCTCCCTAGTAGCTGGGATTACAGGTGCGTGCCATCATGCCTGGCTAATTTTTCAATTTTTTATTTGTAAAGACAGAGTCTCATGTTGCTCAGTCTGGCCTCAAACTCCTGGGCTCAAGCAATCCTCCTGCCTCAGCTTTCCAAAGTGTTGACATTACAGGTGCGAGCCACCGCACCTGGTCCTAGCTGCCTTTAAAAAAGAGTAAAGAGTATTGAAAAGGGTCTAAGGTGTTGCTGATATACATTGAGCTGTACAGTAATGATCTGTATACCTTTCTGTAAGCATGTTGCATTGGTGTGTTGAAGCTGGTTCATACTGGTTTATGACAGACAACTGTTTAACAGTAATTTTGTGAGTCTTGTCAAACTGTCAGTAGATTACAAATAGTCCTGAGGACAGCATTTACATCATTAAATTTGGCAAATGCAACAAATGAAGAATTTCAACCCAGAAAGCACATATATTAGTCATATTTCAACAAAAAAGTTTCAAAGATTAAAAACATACATGAAAGAAATAAAAGTTAGGTGCAGTGGCTAACGCTTATAATCCCAGCACTTTGGTAAGGACGCAGGAGGATTGCTTGAGCCCAGGAGTTTAAGACCAGTCTGGGCAACATATTGAGATTCTGTCTCTATTAAAAAATTAAAGATTAACTGGACACGGTGGTTCGTGTTTATGGTACTAGCTACTCAGGAGGCTGAGGTGGGAGGATCATGTGAGCTCAGAAGGTTGAGAAGGCAGGAAGCCCAGATCCTGCCACTGCACTCTAGCCTGGGTGACAGAACAAGACAAAAAGGAAAGGGAAGGGGAAGGAAAAGAAGAAAGAGGCCAGGCATGGTGGCTCACATCTATGGTCCCAACACTTTGGGAGGCTGAGGCAAGCAGATCACTTGAGCTCAGGAGTTCCAGATCAGCCTACAACATGTCGAAACCCTGAAACACTACATTTATAAAAAAATACAAAAATTAGCTGAGCATGTGCCTGTAGTTCCAGCTACTTGGGAGGCAGAGATGGGAGGATTGCTTGGACCCGGGAATTTGAAGTTGCAGTGAGCTGTGATCACGCCACTGTACTCCAGCCTGGGATACAAAGCGAGATCTTGTGTGGGGAAAAAAAAAAAAAAAAAAGGAAAGGAGAGAGGGAGGCAAACTCCAGAATACAAGGATAAAAGAACACGAGAGACAGAGAGAGAGAGGTAGAGGCAGCAGAGGGAGGGAGGGGGGAGAGAGAGAGAGAGAGAGAGAGAGAAAGAGATGGTTGAATAAGTTACGGTATATGCATATTATGAAATATTATGCAATTTGTATAAAAGTATGAGTAAAATATATCTGTAATGACCTAGAGGGCTGCCCAAAACATTTATTAAGTTAAAAAAACAAAAAGGCAAACTGAAAATAATTTATATAATTCAATTAAAGCAAAACCAAAAAAATACCTCTTTATACATACACTCACATTTTCATATGATTTTATAAATATGAAGAAAACTGTAGATGATTACATCAAAACCATTCACAGTGACTATCTGATAGGGAAGGAAGATTAACTGCCTGGGGCTGCAAGCAGACAGTAATAACTGTATTAACTATACCATTTGACTTGTTCAAATAGGTTGTTATCTTATAATTTAAAATAATCCAGGAGGCCAGGAGATGGCTCCTGCCTGTAATCCCTGCACTTTGGGAGGCCAAGGCGGGAGGAGCACTTGAGCCTAGGAGTTTTTGAGACCAATCTGGGCAAATAGTGAGACCTCATCTCTACTAAAAATAAAAAAAATAGCCAGACCTGGTGGTGCTGTGTGCCTACAGTCAAGCAGGAGGACTGCTTGAGCCCAGGAGTTTGAAGCTTCAGTGAGCTATGATCACGCTACTGGACTCCAGCCTGGGCAACAGAGCAAAAGACCTTGTCTCAAGCAAAATAAATAAACAATCCAATAAAGTTTTCAAAAGTCTCATAAGTGGGTGGCTTGTCTATAATTTCTTCCTATTCCAATCCAATTTGTACTTATTGCCAGATCATTTCAAAAGCCATTTTCATCAATATCACTCCTCCACTAAACTGCCTGAACACCACTTAACTGCCTATCTGATAAAATTCAAAACTGGGAAAGGGCACTGAAGTGTGATCCAGAGGATCTGGGATCCAGTCCTAATTTTAATGAGTGACCACAGGATGCCATGGCTACCACAATGAAAATGAGCGCCCAGAAATGGAAAATTAGTTTGCTTCCATATAACTATGGCACATAAGGAGACACTATGGCAAGTGATTGAGTTAAATAATCCCTGATTTGGATTCTAGCAATGCCACTTACTACTTATATCACCCCGAGCAAATTATTTTTCCTTTTTAAGCTCAGTTTTTGGTTCAATAAAGTGGGGCTAATAACACTGACCTTTCAGAGTTAGAATAACCATTAAAAATAATATGTATACAAAAAGCCTCTACCCATATTTCAACTTAGTAGGTGCTGAATAGATTATTTTTATTATAATAATAATCATCCTCATTCTATAGCAAACATTCAAAACCTTCACAAATTGGACCTAAAAGGTCCAGTATAGTTTCAGTTTATTTAGGGTTTACTACAGGCCAAACACTGAGCTAGAAATTTTGTAATCTCATTTTTTTAAAATTAATTTTATCCTTATAATATTGTAAATGGTATGAATTAATCTCATTTTATGGATTAAAAACAGGGGCTTAAAGACATCGGTAACTATTCTAAGGTCATAAAGTTAGGAAGCGGCAGAGTAGGAACTATTTTATCTTATCTTAATTTTATTTTATTTTGAGACAGAGTCTCACTCTTATCACCCAGGCTGGAATGTAGTGGTGCAGTCTCTGCTCATAGCAACCTCAGCCTCCCTCCTGAGTTCAAGTGATTCTCCTGCCTCAGCCTCCCAAGTAGCTGGGATTACAGGTGCATGCTATCATGCCCGGCTAATTTATGTTACCACACCCAACTAATTTTTGTATTTTTAGTAGAGACAAAGTTTCGCCATATTGCCCAGGCTGGTCTCAAACTCCTGACCTCAGCCTGCCTCAGCCTCCCAAAGTGCTGAGATTACAGGCATAAGCCACCGTGCCCAGCCTGGAATTTCATTTTAAAGTTTAAATTTTAAACCTAGAGCTGTGACTCCAAAGCCACACTTACTGCTTCAGAATTGAGCCTGCTTAGAATATGTTTTTTCTTCTCCAAATGTGTATTCCCCATTATCTCAGGTCCACCTCAAACTCTATTTGCTTTGTAAAAGTTTTGTGGCTCTCCCACCAACATACTGTTTTCTTTTTCTTCCAACTTATTTTTCAGTCTAACCATCCATTCAGGCATTAAGATACTGCTACATCACAAAATACCTTTTAAGTATTTTTTTTCTTGGAAATACTTATTTTCAAAATGGATTTTGAGTTCCTTTAAGACAGAAGATGTGACTTTTCCAAACCCCAAAAGACTTACCTACCTTTGACATAGGTAGTCAAAACTATTGGTAGAATGAGAGAATTTTGCATTTTCATAGCTTGTTTCTAAGCAGCAAGGCACGACAACGAGTTGTAATAATTAAGAAAAAATCCAAATGTTAAAGGACAGACATTTCTGACACAAGTACCTTGGTAACAACAGGAAGAGAAAACACAGATGATACATGGCAGTTTATGATCGTGGGATAGAGGACAATGAACACTAATCAGAAGCTCTTTGGTCTCCCTCTCTGTCTTGCCCTAGATTTGACAGGCTGTGGAGATTAAATGGCTTCAGACAATGTAAACAGAGAGAAATCTAACAGTTTCTATGACATGAAATTATCAGCTTTGAAATCTTTTTGACTACAGAACAACTATCCTTTCATTTTCACAGAGATTAGAATTAGAATCAACGTGTTTTTAAATTTCAAACTTAATTAAATGTGAAAGCATGCATTTGCTTGCTTTCCATAAGAGACACACAGGAAAAATTTGTTGCCCATGACAATAATTTTACATTACTAATTCAAACCTGACTCAATCTTTCTTATGTTGAATGGGCCCATCTCATGTCCATTTCAGTACAGACTTCATATCCCCTACAGAGGGGAGTATACGTTTTAATAAAGCAAGATTGTCTTTATATAATGAGGATATATCAATAAATACTAAAAATATATTCTCCCCTTTATGTTGCCCCAATAACACTTCTGGGAAGAATGTGTAGTGAGGGGAGAATATACCTCTTGAAGATTTCTGGTTTTACTCCTTCCTCTCTTCTTACCGTTACTAAACATCGACACATGTTTGCGTAAGCCACAGAGAAACTGGGTTCATCAATAGCCTTCTCAAAGACCAGGTCAATAACTCCTTTCAGCCGCTCCTCTGTATCAACAGTAAGTCCTGACACTTGCTTCATCAGTTGATTGAACATCTGTGGTGTCAATTTATTTAAGATACTTCGAACTTTTCTAAAAAGCTCCTAGAAGGGCCACAAAAAAGAATAGCATTAGAGTAACCAGAGTAACTGTGACAATATGGTACTTTCTGTAATGATTAATTTTTAAAATAATGTATAAGTTCAACTTCTCAAATTATTAACAAGGACTGTGAACTAGTTATAGAAATAATTAATCTATTTTAACAAATAGTCAGAAATTACCTTCTTTTCACTACTGAGGAGAATTCTAGAAATAGGTATATACACACTTAGCTGGTGGGAGCATTATCTGTTAACATTTCTAAGGGCAATTTGACAACGTGTATCAAAAGCTTTAAGATTGTGTATGTAACCTTTGAACCAGTAATTATACTTTTAGAAATGTATTTATATTTAGCGATACGTAAAAATATTTTAGCCACACTAATTTCCATCATAATAACCCATTACAGAAAATAACTTTGATGTAAAAAAATAGAAATTTGTCTAAATTATGGTATAATATAAATAATGGTATGAAATACTAGGCAGGAGTCTTTTAAAATAATGTTATAAAATCTCTATTTAAAAAAAAAAAAAAAGGAATTGAAGATCTTCCTAGACTAGTAAAAGGAGATATACAACTCCACTTAATGGTGAAAGGCAAAATGATTTTTGCCCCTAAGATTGAGAATAATGCAAAAAATGTTTCTTCTCACCATTCCCATTCAACATCATAACAGAGGTCCTAATCAATGCAATAAAGCAAAGAAAAAGCAATAAAAGGTATGTAGATTGTAAAGGAAGAAATAAAACTCTATGCAGAGAAGATAAAATTGTCTACATAGACAATCATAAGGAATCTACAAAAAGACCAGAATAAGTCAGTCTAGCAATTGTAGGATACAATGTCAAAATGCAAACATCAACTACTTTTCTATATATTAGCAATAAATAACCAGAAATTATTTTTTTAAAGTACCATTTACAGCAGCACCAAAATCTATAAAATGTTTAGCCAAAAAACTAACAAAAGGTCAGCAGTGGTGGCTCACACCTTTAATCCCAACTTGGGAGACTGAGGTGGGTGGATCAGTTGAGGCCAGAGGTTCAAGACCAGCCTGGCCAACATGGCAAAACGCCATCTCTACTAAAAACAGAAAAATTAGCTGGATATGGTAGTGCATGCCTCTAATCCCAGCTACTCTGGAGGCTGAGGCAGAAGAAGTACTTGAACCTGGGAGGCGGCTGCAGTGAACTGAGATTGCATCTCTGTACTGCAGCTTGGGTAACAGAGAGAGACTCTGTCTCAAAAAAAAAAAAAAAAAAAGAAAGATGGAAAAAAATATGAAAACTATAAATCACTGATGAAGGAAATCGAAGAGGGCTTAAATAAATGAAGATATATATCATGTTCATGTATTAAAAGATTCATTATTGTCAAGATGTCAGTTTTCCCCAAAGTGATCTACAGATATATCATAATCCAAATCCTAATAGGGCCTTTTGTTTTTTGTTTCGGGTAGAAAACAAGGAGCTGATTCTACAATTTATATGAAAAGATATACACACACACACACACACACACACACACACACACAAAAAAAAAACCCTAGAAGAGCCTAAACAATTTTGAAGAAAAAAAAGAAGTTGGAGAATTGAATTCACACAACTAGATTTCAAAACTTTCTATATAAAGACAGAGTGGTGTTGGCCAGAGGACAGACATAGCTTGATGAAGAATGTAGAGTCTAGAAATAGATGCACACATATATGATGAACTGATTTTTAACAAAGATGCCAAAACATTTCAATGGAGAAAGGATAATCTTTTCAACAAATGGTGCTGTAACAGCTGGACATCCACAAGAAAGGGGAGAAAAAGAACCCTGACCTATTATCTTGTACCTTGTACAAAACTCAACAAAAATTGGATCACAAAACTAAATGTGAAACCTAAAACTATACTAGAAGACAACACAGTAGAAAAACGTTGTTTTCTTGGGTTTACGCAAATATTTCTTAGATATGACAGCAAAAGCACAATCATGAATGAAAAGGTTAATTCAGTATTATCAAAATTAGAAACAAGCTGGGTAGAGTGGCTCATGCCTATAATCCCAGTATTTTAAGAGGCTGGGGTGGGTGGACTGTTCGAGCCCAGGAGTTTGAGACCAGCCTGGGCAACATGGCAAAACCCTGTCCCTACAAAAAATACAAAAATTAGCTGAGTACGGTGGCACGCACCTGTAGTCCCAGCTACTTGGGAGGTTTAGGTGGGAGGACTGCCTGAGCCAGGGGAGGCTGAGGTTACAGTGAGCCGTGATTGTGCCACTGCACTCCAGTCTGGGCAACAAAGTGGGGCTATGTCTCAAAAAAAAAAAAATAAATAAATAAATAAATAAAAATAAAAATAAAAACAACTGCTCTGTGAAAGACACTGCTGAAAGAATGAAAAGAGGCTGGGTGCAGTGGCTCATGCCTATAATCTCAGCTCTTTGGAAGGCAGATTGCTTGAGCTCAGGAGTTTCAAGACCAGCCTGGGCAACATGGCGAAACCCCATTGCTACAAAAAATACAAAAATCAGCTGGATGTGTAGTAAGCACCTGTAGTTCTAGTTGTGGGGCTGAGGCAGGAGGATCGCTTGAGCCTGGGAGTTCAAGGCTTCAGTGAGCTGAGATCATGCCTCTGCACTCCAGCATGGGTAGACTCTGTCTCCAAAAAAAAAATTACATACATACATACACACACACACACACACACACACACACACACACACACAAAATCATTTATTAGCTAAGCTACAGGAGTTCATGCCTGTAATCTCAACACTTTGGGAGGCCAAGGCAGGAGGATTGCAGGAGGCCAAGAGTTCAAGACCAGTTTGGGCAACACTGCCTCTAAAAAATTTTTAGGCCAGGCGCAATGGCTCATACCTGTAATCCCAGCACTTTGGGAGGCGAAGGAAGGCGGATCACTTGAGGTCAGGAGTTCCAGACTAGCCTGGTCAACATGTGAAACCCTGTCTCTACTAAAAATACAAAAAAATTAGCCGGGCGTGGTGGGGTATGCCTGTAGTCCCAGCTACTTGGGAGGCTGAGGCCGGAGAATCATTTGAACCCAGGAGGCGGAGGTTGCAGTGAGCTGAGATCGCATCACTGTACTCTAGTCTGGGCGACGCAGCGAGACTTTGTCTCAAAAAAATAAAAAAAAATAAAAAAAAAATTGTAACAAATTAGCCAGGTATGGTGGTCCATGCCTATAGTCTCAGCTACTTGGGAGGCTGAGGTGGGAGCCTAGGAGGTTGAAGCTTCAGTGAGACACCATCGTGCTACTGCACTCCAGCCTGGGCAATAGATTAAGACCCTCTTTCAAAAAAAAAAAAAAAAAAAAGCCTGAGATGGTAGCTCGTGACCAGCCTGGGCAACAGAATGAGACCTGGTCTCTACAAAAAAATTAGCCAGGCATTGTGGCACATGCCTGCAGTCCCAGATACTTGAGAGGCTGAGGAGGGAGGATCACTTGAGCCCAGCAGATCAAGGCTGCAGTGAGCTGTGATAGTGCCACTGCACTTCAGCCCTGGTGACAGAGTGAAACCCTGTCTCAAAAAAAAAAAAAAAAAAAATCATTTCACTGTAACTAAATATCTAGTTGATGTCCACTAAATTTTGTGTTAGGTACAAATGAAGCACAAAGCAGTTATTGCCTTCCACAGAATCAAAATCTAGTTGCAGGGACAATACATTTAAAAACGAAGTGATAAAGCAAGTACTAGGGTTGATTAGAGACCAGAAAGGGGAATAGTTTAGATACATGAGGTCAGAGGCACTGGATTAGTCGAGGAATGCCTTTAGAAGGAAATGAGGGCCGGGGGTGGTGGCTCACGCCTGTAATCCCACACTTTTGGAGGCCGAGGTGGGCAGATCACCAGTTCAGGTGATAGAGACCATCCTGGCTAACATGGTGAAACCCGGTCTTCACTAAAAATACAAAAAGTTAGCCAGGCGTGGAGGCACATGCCTGTAATACCAACTACTTGGGAGGCTGAGGCAGGAGAATCGCTTGAACCCAGGAGGCAGAGGCTGCAATGAGCCAGGATCGCACCATTGCACTCCAGGCTGGATGACAGAGCAAGAGAGAGACTCCATCTTAAAAGAAAAAAAAAAAAAAGAAGGAAATGATAATTGGGCCAGATAATAAAGGATAGAAAGAGCTGGCTAAAGGGAAGAAAAAAAAATAAAGTAGATATTTGATGAAAGAGAAAACACTTTAGGAAGGAATTGTTAATGAGGATTTTCTAGCCTGCTAATTGAGAGAACACGCTGGAAATATCAGAAGACTAGCCTTCTCTGGTTGTGAGTGAAAAAGACATATTGAACGCTAGGTTAAAAAGCTCGAATGGAAAGACAAAAATCAGTGTTTCAGGTATATGACTCAGGCAGCCTCAGTAGAAATGTTGTTAACAGAGGAGAAAGAAGAAAGAGAATGCAGGGAATCCTAGGGGTAGAAGCCCAGACATGTCCTGAGGCAATGATTTCCTAGAAATGCTTCAAGAAGATGAGAATAAGGTCATCGACAGGTCGTTCATAATGCTGATTTAAATAATTTAATATAGTAGTAGGAACATAAGCGAAGGCAACAAATCAAGTCCATATTTAAAAGAAAGTGTCAAGAAAAAGAAGGTTGTACTGGCTCTGTAAAGGAATTTTAATAATTCTCCATTGGATTTCTTTTATCTACTTACTAAAGAAAACCTATTAATTAATGCTACCTCATATCAAGATAATTATTCTGTTTCTGAAATAAGACTTAATAATGGAGAGAACTCTGTTATAAACAAGCAGATTACAAGTTATAACAACTGGACTATTCTTTTATGACGCTTGACAACTTTTGAAGCTTTAGTTTCCTCATATGGAAAAAGAGGGTAACATCTATTTCCTCATTATAGGTACAGTAAGAATTTAATAAAGTAAGGCATTAATCCAAGTGCCTTAAATACATCTTCATTGTCAATTATGAAGATCCAGTAGGAAGTTTTAACTATCTTCATACAGGCTATTTAGGCCCATTATCATTAAGCATTTCTCAGGGAGATTGGAGAGAGGGACAAATAAGGCTTTTTTTTTTTTTTCCCCCCTCCAAAAAAGGTTGAGATATGTTGAAATGGAGAGAAATGTAGGGACTTGATCTCAGCAATGTGAAGAAGGATGTCCTTAGGAACCCTGTGGCAAATGTTTGGGAATAATCACTACAGAGATAAACAAAAGCAAGCCGCCAATTACAGTCTGACAGCACGGCTAGTTGACGGATTGCTTCATCTTCATCTCTGTTTTGTATTAACTACTCTGTGGGTTCGCTTATTTACTGAAAAATTATTTACTGAGAATTTACTCTCTCGAACGGTGGTCCCCAACCTTTTGGCACTAGGAACTGGTTTTGTGGAAGGCAATTTTTCCACAGACCAGGGTTGGGGATGGGGTTGCGGGGGGAAGAGGAACGTGGTTTTTGGGATAAAATTATTCTACCTCAGATCATCAGGTATTAGTTAGATTCTCATAAGGAGCGTGCAGCCTAGATCACTTGCATGTACAGTTCACTCCTATGAGAATCTAGGGCTGCCACTGATCTGACAGGAGGTAGAGCTCAGGTGGTAATGCTCTTTTGCCACCACTCACCTCCTGCTGTGTGGCCCAGTCACCAACAGGCCACCGACTGGTACTAGGGGTTGGGGATCCCCTGTTCTCTGAGGTTACGTGATGGAACTGAATCAGAACGATATCTAAGGCCCATCTCCGCTCTCAGGGACATCATCATACTGAGCACTTAACCAAGCTCCAGGAACCATGCCAAATGGTTTATATTATTTTATTCAATCTTAACACTGGCCCTATGAGGCACTCAATGTTTGTAACTTCATTTTATAGTTGAGATTAAGAACCTGTCTAACAGAGTCAGGATTCTGCCTCCAGACCTGGAACTTTGAACTGCTACACTTAACTGTTCATGGTGAGAGAAAAGATATATAAGGAATCAAGATGCTCAAAAGTTAGTAGGTGATCTGTGATGCTTAGCTCTGGTACAAGTGTGAATTTTAAGAGACTCCAGTTTTGGTGCCTAGAAGCAAAAACATCTGAAGTCGCAGAGGTAACCTGGGGATAGGAATTGACATTGTGTATAAAGCAAAAGATGAATAAAGGCTTTATATAATCTGACACATAAAAATTAATTTTGTGTCAATAAAATAAATCCATTCAATTTATCCTCATAATTCTGAGGGCAGGATATGCATAAAAAGATTCAAAGAATTAAATTTTATTCCAAAAGGCTTCAAAACAAGATGAGTTTCTAAATTCTAGCTTATTGGCAATGAAGGCCTGACAAAGAACATAAAGCAACGTAATAATTAGGATAAATAGGATAAAGAGACTCAATCACTGAGAATCTAAAAATGCATTTTAAAGAAAAGCAAATATTAACTTAAGCCTGAATTATATAAGTCTATGACACATGAAACCTCTAGACCTGGAAACTATTCTGAAAAAACATACAAAAAGCAATTTCAAGAGAAAACAGTAGGTTGTCTGGCATCCATAATGGCTTTTAGAATATTCTTTTAACAGGAAAACATTATAAAAAGTCTTAAACTGATTATCTCTACAAACATTAGCAAAGCAAAATAAGTTTAAACAAAATCAACATAATTTCAAAACAATGTCAGGATATGCTTTTGTTCTCACCTGGGTTTTAATGTTTTCGGGATCATCGGCTTGGCTGTCTCGTTTTTGGCTGGGCTTCCAGGCATTTTCTGCCTTTTTTAGGTGTACATCTTCTTTTACAGAAACTGTGATAATCTTTCTGGGTTCTCTTCTTTGGCCAGGTTGAGATCTTCGTGGTCCAACATTCAACAACTAGGACAAGAATATTACAGCTATTCAGAGTACTTGCAATTTATTGTCTTTGCTGTGCTGTTCAAGTCAAGCCTGATGACCACACCAAGCAACGCTAGACACTCAAGCTGGATGTAATCTTTTTGCGGGGTAAGAAAACAACCTCAGAAGACCATCAATGTAATATTCTCCACCACTACAATTTTTGAACAAGAGGCCTTTTTGAACAAGATGTTTGACAAAGCTGTTACTTCTAATGAGAAAGACTACTTCTAACTGAAGCTTTATCTTTTATTAGTTGCATAACTGTGGACTGGTCACTTCAATAATTACAAAAATTCAAAGGTAGTTATCATCACAGTTACAAATCTGCTAAAATTGCGTTTCTACAATCCCAGGGTAAAATGCAAATATAACATCAACACTAAGCCTTACTGTAGATCATAAAATATTCCACTTGATATGTTGGGTCAGAAATACTAAAATAAACTCATTAAATATCATCGATGAGAGTCAAATTAAATTACTCCCTGAAAAAAAAAGTCTTCCTTTTATTTGTCAGCTCTGTTCCTGCTGGATTCCCACTATACTCTTGTGTTAAAACCAAAGTATGTTGCCATGTTATACTGCCAGCACACTAAGTAGAGATAACAGAGTAAGTTAAAAGTTGCATTTTGTGTATCAAAACATTTATAACAATTACTATCTTAAATGCTTGGAAATAATTTTTTAAGGTTAAACATTTGGGTTGATACTAAGCTCTGCTACCTTCAAGCAGACCTGCTGCATGTTGACAACCTTTACTTTTTCTGATATATCATTCTTTTAGTGCTGAGCAAATATTGCCATCAGATTTTTTTTTTTTCTTTCTGAGTTGTACTGAAGGGCTAGCCATTAGATTTCAAGAGAGAATAAAAACTTCATACAAAGCACACATAGATGAGAATCATTTCTCACTTAAGGCCCCAATGCTGCCCTTTTGAATTCATAAAACACTTCAGAGAAAGAAGTACAGACTTTAATATCATTTATTATATAAAAAGGCAGTTTCTAGGAGATACACAGTCTGGGGCCTAAGCTGCTAAGCTCAAACATCTTTACACATCAATCATTCTCAGAATTATTCCTTTATGCTTCACCATCTGCCCCAATTAGAAATGGTAGTTATCAAGAATGCATCAGGATCAAAAGTTAGAGTTTCTGCAAAATTTCACACCAATCTTGTCAAATGCACCCAGCTAAGGATACAGTACTGATGATATCTCAGACTATTTGATAAACATCAAAAACAAAACACACACACACACAAAAAAACAGGTCAGATAAACCCAGAGGTATGAGACACATGGTATAACTGAAAGGAAAATAAAGATCATAAGATTGGAAAAATGCCAAAAGGGAACAGTTGTTAAACCAGACAGTACTACTATAAGAACATAAATTGTAACTGAAACTTTAATATAGTAGCCCAGACAAAACAATTCTGTTAGAAAAATGTAGCAATCAGTCGGGCGCGGTGGCTCAAGCCTGTAATCCCAGCACTTTGGGAGGCCAAGATGGGTGGATCACGAGGTCAGGAGATCGAGACCATCCTGGCTAACATGGTGAAACCCCGTCTCTACTAAAAAATACAAAAAACTAGCCAGGCGTGGTGGCGGGCGCCCGAGTAGTCTCAGCTACTCGGGAGGCTGAGGCAGGAGAATGGCATAAACTTGGGAGGCGGAGCTTGCAGTGAGCTGAGATCTGGCCACTGCAGTCCAACCTGGGCGACAGAGCAAGACTCTGTCTCAAAAAAAAAAAAAAAAGAAAAAGAAGAATGTAGCAATCAAGTAATGCCTGATTTTTATAATTCAGGTTATATTCTGTTGACTTATGTAGATTAATAACTTATTAAATGGTTGGCTAAACCTCACATAAACAATTATATCACAAGATATTTAATTTAATCCATGCATTTGTACATAAACATTGCCAAGAACAAATGTTTCTGGATGTAATGAAAGGAAATTATGTCAAAATCAAGTAAGAGCCAAAGATGAACATTAGGAGACAAAGTCAGAAAATGCCCATTTCCAAACCCTACTGCAAACACCAATAAATAAATATGCCTTGAGATTTGAATCTGGAAAATGGCAATACGATTTATTCCACACCTCTTTACCTGCTCCAAGACAAATATGTGTGAGTCTCAAATGAGCAACACAGAGATGTGAGAAAGTAACAATAATGCTTCAAAGGAAAAAAAGCTTTGAAAAGCTAACTGATAAATTGTTAGTCCAGGATAAAATAGTTAAAATTAAAACCCAGGTGAAAACACCCATGAAAAATTTTAAAATTATAATTGTATCTCTGGTTATAACTAAGATAAAGACACTGTTCTCAAATACTTATCTAGGTATTTTGAGTCCTTAATACATCTACTATACTTACAAATTCTTAGTATGTTCAATTAATCAATCTCTAATGCGCCCATATTTACACTCTGAGAATGAATTCACTGTTTGGAATAGCAATGCCTGGAAAACTGTGGTGTAGTGAACTTAGGAGACAAAAGAATCAGACTCTAGAGAGTACAAATCTGCTATGTATGAGCAAAGTCACTGTAGGCAAGTCTCTTAGTTTTGTTAAGGTTTTTCATGTATACAATGCCAGCCCTACCTAAAAATGTGATTATAGGATATAAACCATGTAAAAGGACCTTAAAAACTATGTTATCGTCAATACCAAAGGATCAAAAGGAACTTTTAAAAAAGTGATATATAAACGTAAACATTTCATGTCCCTTTTTGTGTGTGAAAAACTTAATACAGATAATCAAATTTTTGGTATCCTTCAGAAGTAGCAACAGATGATGAATGATTTATATACTAAACACACAAAAAATCTAGGATCCTGTGCTAAAAGTTATGGGCTACACAAAAAGAAATGACACCTGGTTTCTTTCTTTGAAAGACGGTACTTTAAGGAACTTTAAGATATAATGTGCTCAAGGCCCACAATGTCAAAACTAAAAATGTCAAAATCTGGGGTTGATTAGTGAGCCATTTTCTTTTTTCAGGCGATATTAAAGTTTGAATTTTTTACCCACTGTCAGTTTTCAAAAAGGTATTAAGAAATTATACCCATCTCTGTTTTGCAATTTAATATACATCATTCCTATCTTATTCGGAGACTGTAACCTTAAAATTCCACTGCTTACCTGGATAATCAAAGAAAATAGAATCAATATGCACTTACATTTTTAAAGAAGGAAGACAATCAAGTATTCCTTTAAAGAAAGGTTTTACTCCTAGAATTTTTCTTTGCTCCTAGGATTTTTATGATTGATCAGTTTATCTCAAAAGTTAGTTAAAATAACTATAAATGGCAAATTACTTGTCTAGGTCCAATGCTCCTCTTAAGATATATTTTTTGGAGTGCTTTCTGTGATGTCCACAAAAAGACTACAAAGACAACTGATGAGTAATTTTATTTTATTTTTTTGAATTTTTTATTTTTTGGGACGGAGTCTTGCTCTGTCGCCCAGGAGGGAGTGCAGTGGCACGATCTTGGCTCACTGAAAGCTCCGCTTCCCAGGTTCACGCCATTCTCCTGCCTCAGCTTCCCGAGTAGCTGGGACTACAGGCGTCCACCACCACGCCCGGCTAGTTTTTCGTATTTTTAGTGGAGATGGGGTTTCACCGTGTTAGCCAGGATGGTCTCGATCTCCTGGCCTCGTGATCCACCCGCCTCAGCCTCCCAAAGTGCTGGGATTACAGGCGTGAACCACCGCCGCCCCGCCCGTAATTTTATTTTAAAAATAACTAAAGACATGCTATTTCGTGGTAATTTCTAACAGATATGCACTTTACTATCCAGTGAAGGACACTTAGGTTTGAAAACTACGTAGCTGCATATGACATTTTAAAATCATTAGCATGCATTAAAAATATTTTATAGTAAGTCTGTTGCAGCAGTTTTTGTGTTTTTTTTTTTTTTTTTTTTTAGACAGTCTTGCTCTGTCACCCAGGTTGGAGTGCAGTGGCGTGATCTTGGCTCACTACAGCCTCTGTCTCCTGGGTTCAAGCGATTCTTGTGCCTCAGCCTTCTGCGTAGCTGGGATTACAGACATGTAATCCCAGGCTAATTTTTGTATTTTTTTTTTTTTGTATTTTTTAAAAATTTTTTATATTTTTGTAATTTTGTATTTTTGTATTTTTAGTAGACACAGGGCTTCGCCATGTTGGCCAGGCTGGGCTCGAACTCCTGGCATCATGTGATCTGCCCACCTCAGCCTCCCAAAGTGCTGAGATTACAGGCGTGAGCCACCGTACCTAGCCTGTTGCAGAAAAGTTTGTATTAGAAGTCATGGCTAATTAAGATAATAATGGGGCATACCACATAGATTTTAATATTATTAGGTGATAATTAATTATAAGATAATTTGGAGAACTAGAAAAAGTTATTTGAAGTATGGAATCAGAAACTGCAAAGAGTAGGGGAGTAAGGCTGTTGCTTTTTTCCAAACAGCATTATTTTTGTTACTGTTTTTTTGAGACAGAGCCCCGCTCTGTTGCCCAGGCTGGAGTGCAGTGGTGCGATCTTGGCTCACTGCAGCCTCTGTCTCCAACTTCTGCTTCCCAGGCTCAGGCAATCCTCCCACCTCAGTCTCTCAAGTACCTGGTACTACAGGTGTGTGCTGTCATGCCCGGCAAATTTTTGTATTTTTTGTAGGGACAGGATTTCACCATGTTGCCCAGGCTGGTCTTGAACTCCTGGACTCAAGCGATCTACCCGCTTTGGCCTCCCAAAGTGCTGGGATTACAGGCATGAGTCACTGTGCCTGGCCATTTTTGTTTCTTTATATGTTGGTATTTATGTCCTGTGACATTCCCATCTGTATCTATATCAATATACCAAGGTAAGCTGGGCACATTAAGTGGAGAATGTCTGTTATCTAGGAGACAGGCTGGAAGAATAACTTGCCTTAAGGCTTAACATATCAACATTACCCTGAGAGATCAAAATTTCACTTAAAAACTAGCTTCTGACATAGAACAAAACTGCTTAATAAAAGTAAATTAAATAATTAAAGTTGATACTTTTGGAGCTACTACAAATTCTAGATAATGTCTCACTTCTAGTCACATTACTTTGAATGTACCAGAATAACTCACTGATCTCACATATGTAGGTATACAGAGGAGTGGTATACACTGTGATAAAGTTACTTTTAAAAATTATTTTCTATTTTCAATAATTTAAAAGAGACGTCACTTATTCTAAACTCACAATATTTCCTTTTTGTTATAACTAGTTATTAGCAAACAATGACTAGCAAGCTGGTAGTGAAAAGTGACAATATACATTGGAAGAGGATTTATACATTTTGTGAGCCACCCATCAACAAAATTGGGCAATATGATAATAACCACAGATGCTATTATCCACAGAATATTCAAAACAGCATCAACATTATTTCAAATATTTGGCAAAACAAAGATATAAACCAAAACCAAAACGAACAATAATACAAATAAAAATTTCAACATTAAAAAAGGAAATAATATTGAAAAAAAGGTATAAAATGGTTTCTAGAAAGCTGCTTTCTAAGACGTGCTGGTGAGGTAACTCAAGATTTAAAAAAATTTTAATTTAGTATTTCCTGAAAATAGATAAATGTGTGAGAAACAGAGTATCTCACATACACAGGTCTCTAAAATGGTGATGGTAATGACTCAATAAACAGTATGCTTCAAATTCAGGTGGTTTTCAGTAGTTTTTACAAAGTCTACAACACACTGTAGGCATTCAAGTATATTCTATCACTGTTTGGTTGCAGGAAAATAATCAAATAATTTAAATATCTACAAAGTGACATTTGTTGTCAGACAATGTAGTCTTAATTCAAAGCAGGTTTCAAAAGTTGCCATTTCAGAAATAAAAAGGTGATGGAGAAACAAAAAGCGTCACCTTACATAAAATGAAGTAACAGGGTGATCTGCAAATGTACATCAAACCCCAAGCTCCTCCAGAATGTTAGATTTATTGCTCTCTATGCCATTCTAACTTGGGGAAAAGAGGTATTCAACATCGTTGGCAACTTTCCCCATGCTTTCTGAATTCTACAAAGCATGGAGTAGGCAGAGTCTGCCGAATCTTGCACAGTGCAGTGCCCCAGCATAACTCCACTGGTGATGCCACTTCCACCGCTGAAGAGCCTGCCACTGGAGATGTAACAGCAATCTGCAGTTTACCGATACTGTACTCTTTTGTACTTGTCATTTGTTCAAATTTTGACTTAACAATCAATAGTAAATAAAAAGAGCGTAACAGAAAATATTGTAACACCAGAGACTATTATTACAAAAAACAAAGCGTTCAGCGCACCACCAGAGGCAGGCTCTTCACGGGTGGGTGTGACATCGCCAGCGGAGAGCAAGTTGGGGCTTTGCTCTGTTCCAGAATTGGCAATCCATGCCTGCTCTGCACTTTGCAAATCTGTAGAAACAAAGACAAGACATGATCATTAGCTGAATGTCATCAGAGATCTCCAGTATATCAGGACACCTCAAAACAAAACAGGAATCTTATCAAGGTTGGCGCTCTCTCTATATATTTTTTTTCAGAGACAGGGTCTTGCTTTGTTGCCCAGACTGGAGTGCAGTGGCATGATCATGGCTCACTGCAGCCTGGACCTCCTGTTCTTGTTTTGTCAGCCAGACTGGAGTACAGTTGCATGATCATGGCTCACTGTAGCCTGGACCTCCTGGGGTCAAGTAATCCTCCCACCTCAGTCTCCCGAGTAGCCAGGACTAGGACTATAAGCATGCGCCAGCATGCCTGGCCTATTTTATTTCTTTTCTTTTCTTTTTTTTTTTGTGGTAGAGACAGGGTCTCTCTTAGTTGCCAGGCTGGTTCTGAACTCCTGACCTCAGGTGATCCTCCTGCCTTGACCCCACAAAGTGCTAGCATTACAGGCCTGAGCCACCATCCCCGGCCATGGTTGGCACTATTTTTAAACCTATTTGCAGGTCACCTCAATTGAAAAAATGGGGGAAAAAAAAATCAAGACCAAATTAATGCAGACTAGCTTCTGTCAAGTAAAAACAACTCAAGTGTATTCTTTATTTGCTTTAATATGAGTATGGAAAGGATAGTCTTTGCCTCTTCTTCTTCTTGACTAGAATCAGCGAACAAAAGCTGCTGTCTTGCCGTGAGGTAGGATTTCATGGAGTCTGTGCCAGTGTCTAACTAAGTGAGTTGTAGGGAACTTGCACTTACAGGCACGCCTCTTCCACCAGGTGTCTGCCTTCCAAAATCAGCAAAGGCTGGTGTAAAGTCTGGTCCTCGAGGCAAAATCCGAGGATCCAGAGTTCGCATTGGCAATTTGGGTTGGTTGATCTGCATGAAGAAGCAAAAGAAAGCTTAATACATGTTCCAGAGCATTCCCTGCCACAAAAGATAACAAAAAATTTGACTGAAAGGTTACATCAGCTTAAACGGTAAGCACATGGTAAGCATCAGCTTTGGAACCAGCAGAAGCCCAACCTCATCCATGGCAGGTTCTCCTGGGCTATCCTTAGAGCCATTAGGCTAAAACAATGGTTTTCCGACACCTGAGAATGATTTAGGCCTTAAATTTCCAAGTAGGGGCTATACATAATCAGTAGATTGGCTCACTAGATACTGAGGACCAACTGAAAGGCACAAGACATTTTGAGATCCTCTACGCTAGCGTCAAATTTTAGAAATAAAAAAAATATATTCACCAGGACATAGAGCACTTGCCTATAGGAATCCTGCTACTGCTCATTTTAGTTTTGATGCTGTAGACTTATGGTTAGTAAAGAATGTATTATGAGTGGACAATAAGTCTTAAAGGAGATATGTTTCATGGGTGATGATTCATTTAAAATTTCACTGTCTGCCTTGTTAATCTGAGATATCTGACTTTGAATAAGTATGTAATGTGACTATGGACGACACAAAGTTAAGCAGACCAGTGAGAAGTCAACTAATTAGTGTCCAAAGTCATAAACAGATAAGGCAGCAGGACAGGCAGGAATATTTTCTAAGAGGATAATCTAATTTGGTGGATATAACACTTGACTTCTGAGGTACTGAAGTAGCCTCAAATTAGCACCATTAATCAATCATTCAGCTGTCCTCACATAACTATCTAGGAGAGAAGACTTAGATACCACCAATAGAAGTAAGAAGACCTATTGCTATAAGAAAGTAAAATAATATAAATGAGTTCTGGATAAGCAGCTCCTGGACATCTTTATTACCCCATTTATGCCGGAGGCTGCAAATTTTTTTGTGTGAAAAATCAGATCTTGGTTATGACCTTCAGCAGTAGGATACAAATAACTCCCACAAGCTTAGCATTCCAATAATGAAACACTAGGCATAAATCAGTTAAGAGGTAGATATGATTCCATAAGATAGTTAATCTCTACATTTTACATTTTTGTTCCTCTACAAAACAAGAATACTTCAAGCTTAGTCATCAGCTCTGGTTTATCTTTGATTTCCATGAAATTACTTTAGCAGATCTGACTTTACTCCTTTTAATTTAGTAAACAAATATTGACTGTACTAATTTGCTGTGTGCACCATTAAGATCAGATGCAAAGAGGAAGGATGCCTATTTGCACAAGATTGGGGAATTCAATCACTGGAGGTATCTATCAGGGAAATTTTGAGATACATATTATTTGAATCATGTTGACTCTCACTTATGTGTGATCTGCCAAATACCTTCCTAGATTTCTGACCTGTCCTCAATGCCGACAGAATTCCATAATGAACTTTTAGAACAGTGAGGAAAGACCTCTGTATCAATTTAGCCGTATGTTTCCCCCGACAAACACAAAATTTTTATATCACCAAAAAACAGCCATAATAAGCAGACAAATCAATTAATAAACATTAAAAAAACACTAGTCCAATATGGGCCAAATCCCAAAATGACTGTAACCTATAAGGAACTCCAAATCCAACAGTGTTTAGGGAAACAAATTCTTAAACATTAGATATTTTTATATCATTTGGTCTAACAATTACTAAAAACTGCTGATACTTCACATATTTGCACTTATAGTTAAAATCAGTTCCCACCAAAAAGAACTAGTTTTTTCTGAGTATGCAGCTTACCTTGTCAAGAACCACATCACTGATAGGAGGCAGGCCCTCTGGTTTTTGTATACAGGCTGGCATGAACTGGAAGTCCAGCAGAAACTCCCTGTCATACTGCTTCTTACCTTCAGTATCAGTAGGCTTCCAGGATTCTAGAAAGAGGAATACAGGCAGACAACTGTTTGTAGCGCATTATATTATATATGTCATGCATTGCAAAACAACATTTCCATCAACAGCAAACTGCATATACAACGGTGGTCCCATAAGGCTATAATGAAGCTGAAAGGTTCCTATTGCCTAATGACACTGTAACTATCCTAATATGGCAGCACAATGCGTTATTCACATGTATGTGTTAATGGTAGTGTAAACAAACCTACTGTGCTGCCAGTCACTTAAAAGTATAGCACATACAATCAAGTGTAACACATAATACTTCATAGTAATAAGAAATAACTATGTTACTGGCTTACGTACCTACTACACTATACTTTTTAATCACTAGAGTATATTCCTTCTACTTATTAAAAAAAAAGTTAACTGTAAAACAGCCTCAGGCAAGTCCTTCAGGAAATATTCCAGAGGAAGGCACCGTTATCATAGAAGATGACAGCTCTATGCATATTATCGCCCCAGAAGACCTTCCAGTGGGACAAGATCTGGAGGTAGAAGACAGTGATGTTGATGATCTTGACCGTGTATAGGCCCAGGCTAATGTGTGTGTTTGTGTCTTAGTTTTTAACAAAAATTCTTAAGTAAAAAGATAAATAATTTTAAAAATAGAAAAAAGCCTATCGAATAAGGACATAAAGAAACAAGGCCAGAGATGGTGGTTCACACCTATAATCCCAGTACTTTGAGGGCCAAGAGTTTGAGACTAGCCTGGACAATGTAGTAAGACCTAATCTCTAGGAAAAAAAACTTTTTAAATTAGCTGGGCGTGGTGACGTGCAACTGCAGTCCCAGCTATCAGGTGGCTGAGGTGGGAAGATCACTCAAGTCCAGGAGGCTGAGGCTGCAGTGAGCTATGATTGCACCACTGCACTCCAGCCTGGGTAACAGAGTGGGAGATTCCATCTCAAAAAAAAAGAAAAAGAAAAAGAAAAAAGAAAGAAATATTTTTGCATAGCTGTACAGTGTGTTTTAAGCTAAACATTATTACAAAAGTAAAAAAGTTAAAAAAATTTAAAAGTTTATCAAGTAAAAAGGTTACAGTAAGCTAAGAATAAATTCACTATTAGAGAAAGTACAAATTTTAAAATAAATGTAGTGTGCCCTAATGTTTTTAAAATCTACACCAGCGTACAGTAATGTCCTAGGTCTTTACATTCACTCACCACTCACCCAGAACAACTTCAAGTCCTGCAATCTCCATTCATGGTAAGTGCCCTATACAGTATAACATTTTAAAACTTTTATATAGTATTTTTACTATACCTTATCTATGTTTAGTTATATTTAGATATACAAATACTTACCATTATGTTACAACTGCCTACTATTCAGTATAGTAACATGCTGTACAAGTTTGCAGTCTAAGAGCAGCAGGCTATACTATACAGCCTAGTTGTGTAGTAGGCTAGAACATCTAGGTTTGTGTAAATACTCTTTTGTTTGCACAAGGAAGAAACTGCCTAATGATGCATTTCTCAGAACAAATCACCGTCATTAAATGATGCATGACTTACATCCCCTAAGAGTACAAAACACTTTCCAGTATTTATCTCTTCATGAACAAACACAAAATAGAAGGGAACAATGAAATACAGTCAGGAAATATTATGTGAAGATTTTAAACCATCACTTGTTCTTTCATCCCTTCTAAATACCTTTGAGTAGTAAAATAATCTAAAGCAAGTAGGAATCATTTCACATGCACACTAAACAACCTTTGGCTAGGGACATATAATAATCTTCACTAAATAAACTACCAAGCCCTTAAATAACTAAGAAATAAGAAACCTGATAAAACCCTTGGCTTCATGAAAACGGATAGTTTGGTTGTTCACTTGGAAATGTTATTTTAGAGAAAAAAAAAAAAAGCAAAAGGACACAAAACACAGAAACAACTTATTTAAGATAATGAAATGTCTAAGCAGTTAGATACTAAGTTTTCTTCCTTGCCTGTAATTTCATCTAAAAAAAAAATCACAGTTTTCTTATTTTAATTAATAAAACTCATCAAAATCAGACTCCAGATTACTTCCTGATAGCAGATTGGATCCTCTTTATATTAGAGGTTCCTAATGTGTAGGTTATAGACCCACTGATGGTCTTTGAGAATATTCCAGATGTTTTCCACCATATCTTTATTACCTATTATATTTATTAAAAAGTAGACAGCTTATTGGGATCTAAATTTCAAACTGTTTTTGTTCCAATTACTACTGTCTTTTTTCCAATTACTGCTGTTAAATATTACAAGAGCAAAAGGTAGTTGGTCAATTATAGTCAGGGCCTATATTGTAAAACTGATGGATGAAAAGAATTAAAATATAATATGAAATATAACTAACATAAATTATGCAATATACAAAATGTTAAAACAAAATAAAGTAATATAAAAATATAATTTACATAGTCTAAAAATAGCAATAGTGTTTCCATTTTCTTAAGACACACTGGCGATGGCTACAAGTACTCTGTGACCTGGTACAAGCCTAGATCTTTTTCTTTATTTTTGAACACAGTATACAAGCCTAAGTTGACAAAAGCAATTCAGTACACTCAGTCCTAGGGTTTTTAAAAAAAACTTTTACAATAGCATAAATTTACAGTTTCATAAAGCCCATTAACAGGAGTTTACTGGTAGTGAAAGATCAGTATATCAAAGTGGTAAGGGCTGGGCGTGGGAACACTTTGGGAGGCCGAGGCAGGAGGACTGCTTGAGCATAGGAGTTTGAAAGCAGCCTGGCCAACATAGAGAGACCCTCCCTCTGTAAAAAATAAAAAATAAATAAAAGAATTTAAAAATAATATAAAATAAAGTGATAAGTAATAGTCATTGGTTTTCAAATATCTCTGACTACAACTCACAGTAAGACATAAAATGACCTCATGATCCAGGAGAATCATACACGCATACATAACTACAAAGTTTCCAAACTGATACTTATTCTCACTACATGTAATAGACAGACATTTTTTCATTATATTATCCTTTTTTAAAATGTTGGTTGTGACCTATAAATTTCACAATCTATTAAATAGTATTAAACCCAACGGTTTGAAAAACATCTATCTAGGTTATCTTTGAGGTCTGGTATTTTACATTTGAACCCTACCTCCTGCAAAACTTAGTCTAGATGTGGCAGACTAAGGAAAACTTTTCACCTACTCCAAACTTTTTTTTTTTTTTTTTTTTTTTTTTTGAGATGGAGTTTTGCTCTTGTTGCCCAGGCTGGAGTGCAATGGTACAATCTCGGCTCACTGCAAGCTCTGCCTCCTGGGTTCAAGCGGTTCTCCTACCTCAGCTTCCCAAGTAGCTGAAATTATAGGCATGTGCCACCATGCCCAGCTAATTTTGTATTTTTAGTAGAGACGGGATTTCTCCATGTTGGTCAGGCTGGTCTCGAACTCCCGATCTCAGGTGATCCCCCCGCTTTGGCCTCCCTAAGTGCTAGGATTACAGGCGTAAGCCACCATACCCAGCCCAAACTTTCTATCAAAGGAACCATCTTTCCTCATAGATCCACACCAAATCTCTCCATATATCTCAAAGTCAGTCACGGTTCATATAGTATTACGTCACAGGATTAATGCATTTGATGGTGTCTTAAGATAAATCCTCCAGGGTTTGTATTTGTTTACCACATGTTTATCAAATATATTCCATATTTACTTGTTTAGCATACAGATTTACCGCAGGGGACCTCCCATATTTCAGGTACTCAATATCTTGTTTCAGAGTTCCGTTCTACAGAGTGATTTCTGTCAACAGAGTTCGAGTCTTATGAAAGACGACTAACGCCATCTCAAGGAATGTGGTAATATCTCCATATCCCTTTCAATTAAAACAAATAGAATAATTTTTAAAATCAAACTGCACCCACTAGCCTGGAACTGATTCCCTCTGCCAGATGCTCTTCCAATGCCAGTAAAAGGGGAATACCAGTGTCGGGTATCATTTCCATCAATACAGAACTCTCTGGATTTGCTAGTCCCTAACTTAGGCTTGATGATCTGTCCTGTAAATATTATATTGTGATAAACCTCTTTCTTCCATCCAGTATCTCTCTATCAAAAGGCAACATTTCTCTAAGGTTGCAGTAGAGGGAAAAGAGGTAAACAGGAAGGCAGGTATAAACTTACCTGGTTTAAATGGAAACGTGACCCCATCACCAGAACTATCGGTGGAGCCTGAATTAGCATCTATTCCTTCACCCTCAGAAACACTCTCAGCACCATTACGTACTGGCTCAGCCTCTTCTCCATTTTCTTCCACAGCTTTCACTTTTTTTAGGTCAGAGGGGTCTCTTTCAGGATGAAACCCCTGGCTCATTTTATCTTGTTCAGATTCAAGTACTTTGTCAACTGAAAGTTCCTCTTCGGCTTTAGGCTAAATAATAAATGAACAAAGAGATTACATTTTTTTCATGGGTGTAAATATACACAAAAACCTACATCAACCCCCTTCAAACAGCAAAGGAAAACATGTCACTCAAGATAAGAATGTCTGTGTTCAGCATGTTGTATTAGAATGGTGAGTTTTAAAAAAAATACTTCTCTTATTTCAGCACCTAGGAAAAGGAAGACAATTCAAATGGCTGCTGAAATGCTTTAACATGAGACTAATAATATCCAAATGTACCAAAGGTTAGAATGGAAAGAACTGTTAATCCATGGAACTTTACGAACATGAAAGAGTCCTAGTCAGAAATCTAAAACGAGCACTACGCTACCCTTGCCATTAAAGCTCCACCAATATAAAAAGAAACACTGGAGGGTATTTTTTATACTGTCCTCTGGCTGTGGAATTGAGGGTTTGGAGAAGTGCTCAAAGCATCTAAGTTTTATAAAGCTGATCATATCTCATTTTACAAAAAGGCCACTTGCTAGTTAAAATCTATTTTGTTATTTGTTCTTAGACTTCTCTGAGGCTGTGACCATATACAAAAATCTTGTATAGCCAAAAAAAAAAAAAAAAAAAGAGAGAGAGAAATCTGGGATCTGGAATATCACATCTATTTTCAGAAGGCAAAAAAGAACTGAAGTTATTCCTTAGATTATTTTTGACCATCTTAGTGTCAGATATCAAACAAAAATGGTTTTGTAAAGGCCTCATGAATCTTCAAAACTCCTTGAGGCAAAGTTCTCCACGAACTCCTTTTTCATGAAGGGTAAGCACTCTGAAAACAATCCTCTGAAACAAGTACTCAGAGGTGTTCTAATTGATAAATTCACACGAGGAGAAGAGCCAAGAACTGGAGCTGGTTCAGCAGAGGATAGTGTAAAGTAGTGTCATATATAGCAGAAAGTAGTTCACCCCAAATAATCTATGAAATTACATTTAAAACAATTTTTGAGTGACAAATACTTCTTTGTTAGATAGTATTAAAACAGATACAATACTAGCAAATTTTATTTTGCCATATAACAGATCATGGTGAAAAGCCAATAAATTGTTTAATGTTATTAATAGAAACAGTTTTTAGACTCTGTTTCTAATAATGGAAATAAAAAGTTCATGCAAATATGCACAAACCCCAACCCACCCCTATTCCCCCGACTAATCCATGGAAAAAGATAGTACATAAAAATTCTCAAAAGAGAGACAGACATAAAATTCCAAAAAAATAAGTTTGGAAACAATTTATTTTATAAAGCATGGCAGAAAGTTGGTATCATTTAAACATTGAAAAAACCAGATCTACCAAATTTGAATCATGAATCAGCAGCCTCATTTTTAAAAATTTTAGACTCTAGTATAGTCTAATTATAATAATCTTATAATACCATCTCATAATTAAGTACAGGTCATCAAGAAGACATTTAATAAATCTGGGATATGAGTATGTAAATGGTATTTAACTTATTAAACAGCAACCTAACCAAATTATACAATGATACAGAATTCTTATTTCAGATCTTATAAAATGTGAAAAAGTTTTTTTTAGAGAATACAGCGCATCCTCTTCTCTGTATCTACAATCAACAACCATCTATCACATAGAAACGGAGGCTACATTACTCAGAAATTTAATTTCTAACTGGAAAAGGAAGTATAAAGAAACAAGTTTTATGAATAACAAACCATAATTCAGAGAACACGGAATCACTGAATTATCTCAGGTGTATTACTATGAGGGGTATTTGAAGAGAATAACAAAAATAGCTTAATTAAATATTACGGGTTTTTTGTTTTGTTTTGCTTTTAGCAGGATAAAATCCTAGTCAACTAGTCTGTAAGCGTCTAACAGTTCCTAAATTGTTTACGCAGAAAACCAGATTTAAGAAAAAGATCACTTCACTGGCTGGACAGCCAAAGGTAAACCTTTTATAGGAACCTGTTAAGAATTCACTTGACAGAACTCTATGCTTAATGCAATGAGTTTTTTAAAAGTGCTAGAAAATCAGACTGGCAACTATGCATATAATCATTGATGAAATGCTCTAAAATTTTAAAACTTATTTTAAGATACTTTGCCCAGCAATTTTAACATGAAATCATCCTCATCCTTACTTTTCTAGGCTATAATTTTTTTATTTTTTTTTTGAGATGGAATCTCGCTCTGTCATCTAGGCTAGAGTCAGTGGTGCGATCTTGGCTCACTGCAATCTCCACCTCCCAGGTTCAAGCGATTCTCCTGCCTCAGCCTCCAGAGTAGCTGGCATTACAGGCATGCACTACCATGCCTGGCTAATTTCTGTATTTTTAGTAGAGACAGGGTTTCACCATGTTGGTCAGGCTGGTCTCAAACTCCTGACCTTGTGATCTGCCCACCTCAGCCTCCCAAAGTGCTGGGATTACAGGCGTGAGCCACCGCGCCCAACCTCTAAGCTATAATTTTGATAAATATCTTTAATAATGCAACAACCTAATATGTAACCCAAATAAGCTGATACCAGAAACAAATTAGTTTAAAAGCTGAGAAAATAAATCTAAGAAAGGGGGAGCTTGATTAGTGGAAATGAACACAATGGCATCCAGTATTTACTACACTATGCCAACGAAAGCTCAGTTTTAGGAAAGACAGAAAAAAGAATTTCTGAAAGAAGTCAGTGTATAAAAAAAACAAATATTTTTTTGTCTTGCTTTAGTTTTTAAAAATGTTTTAGGTTACTTTATTTTTTTTAAGACAGTCTCGCTCTGTTGCCCACGCTGGAGTGCACTGGCACAATCTTGGCTCATTGCAACCTCCGCCTTCCAGGTTCAAGTGGTTCTCCTGTCTCAGCCTCCTGAGTAGCTGGGATTACAGGTGAGCACCACCATGGCCAGATAATTTTTTTTATTTTTAGTAGAGATGGGGTTTCGTCATGTTGGCCAGGCTGGTCTCGAAATCCTGGCCTCAAGTGATCCTCCTGCCTCAGCCTACAAAAGTGCTAGAATTACAGGCATGAGCCCCTGCGCCCAGCCTTGTCTTAAAGTATAAAGTTAAGAAAAAGTGATTGGTTCAAAATAAGTCAAAACAGTTCTTGTGTTTGAAGAGTAACAAGCTAAAGAAGCTTTATAGCCAACTCCGGCCCAAGGGCCAATTCTGGCTCACCACCTGCTTTTGCACAGCATACAAGGTAAGGATGATTTTTATATTTGTAATATCTGAAAAAATCTGGAAAAATATTTCCTGGCATACAAATTCAGATTTCAAGGTCTATCAATAAAGTTTTGTGAAGATACAACCATGCTTCTTTCATTTACACATTGTTGATGGCTGCTTTTAAGCTACAGTGGCAGATCTGAGGAATTGTGACAGCATAAAATATTTACTATCTGGACCTTTACACAAAAAGTTTGCTGAACCTCAAGCTGAAGATTAGGATGAATATTTGAAGGCATGGGAGGAGCGGCCTATCTAATATTCAATAATGCTTAGAAATCCAACATGAAGTATAACATAAGAAAAATAACAAAAAACCAGCTGAATCTAAAACGAAATCAGGATTGTATGTGATCCCCATGCCTCTGGAAGGTATTTTATTCTCTGTAGGAGCAACATTTCCTTGTTCAGCTGCAAAAGGAGTGCACCTCTATATCTTACTGCCAGTTTTTACACCCTAAAAACCACAATGAAATCACACCCATCAACATTTTAGTGGTTGCTATGAGACTAACAGTGACATCAACACAGCATCATGTAACAGCAATGACAGCACAGGGAAAGTAACCAAGGGGTACTGTTAGATGCCCAAAGAAGGTAAGAATTATAACTTGCTAGAAGAGCCGAATGAATTAAACACGCTCAAAGTTATCTTAAGAAAATTTTTACATTTTAATATTATCATGTTAAACCTTGAGTAAAATTATTTTTAAAAAGTAGCTAAAAGAATAGTCAAAAAAGGGAAAAAGCTACATACAGATTTATATTGCTCTTCATTTATAAGCTTCAATACATAATGCTAAGGATATTGAGATTACAGACAAGGAAATTGTTACAGTAATCCTTAGGACTGATTTGCCCTTGTTTCTTCCTCACATTCATCTCTTGGACTTGGTATGTTTTAATCTAAAGCAAAATCTGGCATGGCTTATTTTAAGACAGACAAACCACATGAAGAAAAGTTATGTTTCTGGGATGCAGTTAACAGATGACAGATTCAAAATGAATTTCTTTATAATGTACTAGATGAATTCTACCACCATTACTAATGGCATTTTTAAAAACTCTCCATTTTTGTTTACCAGATTATCTTTCTATCAAGTTAATACAAAGAAAATTTCTAGTTGGGGGAAGAGAAGAGTTAACCAAAAATTGTCATTTTATTTATTTATTTGAGATAATGTTCGGCTCTGTTGCCCAGGCTAGAGTGCAGTGGCATGATCACATCTCACTGCAGCCTCAACCTCCAGGGCTCAAGGAATCCTCCCACCTGAGCCTCCCAAGTAGCTGGGACCACAGGTACGCACCACCATGTCTAGCTAATTTTTTAAAAACATTTTTGTACAGTCAGGGTCTCCCTATATTGCCCAGGCTGGTCTCAAACTCCTGGGTTCAGGTGATCATCCTGCCTTCACCTCACAAAGTGCTGGGATTACAGCTGTGAGCCACTGTGCCTGGCCAAGTTTGTTATTTTAAAAGAGGTATTTTGAAAGAAAAACAAGAATTCAATGAAATCAAACATGCTACTAAAAATCTTTTTAAAATTCTAATATAAAATGGACTTAAAACAATTGGTCTCTGAGCTTGATATATTAAGTTTTGCTTAAAAAACTATTTCAAGAAATAGGTATAAACACACACCTGTCTATGAAATGGCACCACTGCTCTCAATATGAACTTAAGAGATTTGCTTACCTCCAATTCTGCCTCTAACATCTCTTCAGTGGTTCGGGTCCGATCTTTTGGTTTCTTCCATGTCTTTGGTACAGTTATAGCTATTTGAGCTGAAATACAAGATCAGGCCCATTACTTGCCACTGCAAAGTCATTCTGAGAAATATTAGGTCTAAGTGATACCTATATTCACATTCAGCAGGATAAAAGAGAACTTCACCCATACCAAATAAATAGTTGGCTGAAAAAGTGAACAACTCTGTAGTAGCCCAGAGATTGCAACGTCAAGTGCTGTGGGTACAAACTCATAGCTTTCTAACCAGTGGCCTGCGTTCTTCCCATTTCATGGTTAGAAATACCCCAGCATGTAATTCAACATGTGATGAGTATGCACATAAGAAAACTGACTTGTGATCCAATTCTAGATTTGGGTCTACTTCTATTAATCAACTATGTAAACTTAAGCAAGTCACAGGTCTCAGGCTCCTACATTATTCAGCTATAAAGTATGAGTGAGACTAGATATCTAAAGTTACTTCAAGCAATAAAACATAAAACGCTCAGGATTCTGTTATTTTTAAGTTTTCCAGACAACAAAAGGATACTTCAATTAAGGTTTTATTAGATAGGCAGCATTTCTAAAACATTGTTTTCATCTCAGATCAATACTGTTTGCCTAGCCTTTCATATTGCTAGAGTGAAAACTAAGAAAATAGATAATTTTTACTGAACTATTCCATCGTTTCAGAAATTCTAGATTAAAGGATTAAGTTTACAAAGGATTTTTAAAAATTCATCTGGCTTACAAATTCCACAGAATCATGGGTGTATAAGTGAAAGATTTTAACGATCAGATAGTAAGCTGATAATATTAAACTGCTTCTACAGAGGGCAACTTATGAATCAATAGACAGGTGTGAGGTACTATAGGAGGATGAACAGGGAGAAGAGTTAAAGAAAGGCCACTTAATAGGGAACATTACCAAAAGCAAATAAACACAAAGCTAAAGGGTATCATCTAATCTGATTCGCTACAGAAATATAAGATAATTCACTGAGACTCTGGGACAGTCTCATCTTTTTCGGTACGACAGTAAAATGTGCACATTTAACATTTAATATTTTTCCTCAAAATTACTGTACCATCTTAAAAAGTACTCTGCATATCTTCGTTATATACATCTCACACCAATTATTCTTTTTTCTTCCCCTCAGGAACCATTAAGGAAACACTAATAGACAAGCTGATATATTCTTGCTTTGTATCCTACTCAAGGTAAATTTTTTCAAAGGATGGAAACCATGGGTGGGTTTAAATTTGCTATTGTCTCACAGCCTTCTACTGAATACGTATATTCTGTAGTTGTCTCTTTGCATTTTTTCTTCTGATTTGATATAACCAGTCTGTTTAATGCGCTTCCTCCAAAATTCTTGGGATTTTCAACTCTGCTTCCTGAATCTTTTTAGGAGTTAGAGAGTTCAGAGAATCTGTAATATTATTTTGTTTTGCATTTGTATGAATTTAGCTCTAAATCTCATTCATGGAAAAGAGGAAGAACATTTTTTGGAGGATTTTTGGGCCTCAAATATAAGCTCAAAAGGAACTTCCTCTAAACAACAAAAAACAAAGATCAACTTTTCTTTCCACAAATATATCAAATATACTCAACCCCAAAACATGAAACAAAATATTTCTTCCTTGAGTAATATAACACATTTAACATACTTGGAAAAAAAACAGCTGCCAAGCCAGTGAGAATTGTTACTCATCTTGTTTAGGTGGCTATTTAAAGTCTTGATTTAAAACAATAATTCAGAAAAAGAGGGACAGAAAGAGCACAGTATTCTTTAGGAGACACTTAGTCCTTCAAAAAACCTGAACAAATACACACACACACACACACACACACACACACACACACACACACACACACCCCCTAATGCCCAGTGAGGTTGGGGCATATATATCCCCTCTCCTACAATTACTAATAGAAAGGTGCAGTAAAATTTGGGTGTGCTGAGGAATGAAGGGGGAGAAAAGGGAGTAGAAGGGAAGCAGTCAGGAAGAAAAAGGGAGAGAAATAGAGAAAGAGAGTGACATAGATTTACATGATAATTAACACTGATTAAACCAGAATGGGGGAATTAAATTTAAGCTATTGTCTCAGATTTGTTCTTTACTTTCTAGTTCATTGCACAGGGAGGGCACTTGAATTTGTTGACTGAACAAATAATAGCAGTTCTAGGCAAAGGCAATATTACTGACCTTCCCAAGGCAAAGACGTAGATTGTTTCCGCCTTGTCTTGTATTAAAGCATGACAGGACAAGCGACAGTCTCTGCATAGGATTCATAATTACCTGGACTCCCTCACCTGAGAACTAAAGTCTTACAGACACATTTAATTTCAAGATTTTTGCAAATTTTTATGATACTGGAACAAAATGTTTTTCTTCAGAGCTATTTTGTAAAATGTCTAATGGACAAATTCAGAAAATTATTAGAGCAACAGACACGTTTAATCATTGGGTTTTAGGGAGATTCTTTGTCTTCTCTCTACGGAAGTTTTAAAACTGTGCTACAGTTTACTGTTCCTACAGCTAATTGGAGGGAAACAATTTTTGATGTGTTAAGATGTCTTAAGATTTCAAAAAGAATGCACATTATAGTAACATTTTTCTGGTTCTGTAAGATGTATCACAAGTCATCCCCATAAATGGAAGTGTCTCTTAGTTTTTCATTTACTTTTTATGTGGGCTTGACTGGAGTCAAATTGTTACTCCTGCAAATTAAGAGCTAACAACTATCCCTGTACAACCTAAGAGATAAACACTGGACTTGGAGATGGAGGGCAAGGGTGAATGTAAAAGTTTCATAAACTTACTGGTTTTTATATAACACCCACACGTGTTTTTAAAAATAGTTTTCCCTGAAGTCTGAGGTAGTTAGAATATGGAGGCCGGGTACAGCGGCTCACGCCTGTAATCCCAGCACTTTGGGAGGCCAAGGCAGGCAGATCACGTGAAGTCAAGAGTTCAAGACCAGCCTGGCCAACATGGTGAAACCCTGTCTCTACTAAAAAATACAAAAATTAGCTGGGCATGGTGGCATGTGCCTGTAATCCCAGCTACTCGGGAGGCTGAGGCAGGAGAATCACTTGAACCTGGAGGTGGAGGTTGCAGTGAGCAGAGATCACGCCACTGCATTTCAGCCTGGGCGATCGAGCAAGACTTCATCTCAAAAAAAAAAAAAAAAAAAGATTATGGAGAAAAACTTTTATGTAAAATTGTAGGTCTTACCGGAATAGCAGAATCAAGAGCAGTTACGAGACAGGAATATAATACATTCTGAGGAACTATTCTGTGTAAACACATGATCTAGAACATGCAGTCTTTCTTTTTCTTTGCAGAAATACCAGCTCTTAAAGAAACTGCTAATAGTTAAGTCATGGTTTTTAGTCTAAAATCCTGACTCAGAAATGTTACACAGTAAGTACAAGAATGACAAACGTTACTGCTATCACTGGCATAATCTCCCTTTGTCTAGATTATTTATTCTAATCACAAAAAAGTACACCCATTGAAGAACGCTTATAAAGTAAAGCTGAAAAAAAAAAAAAACCACCTACGTGTTATCTTTGAGACATTGTAAACCTGGGTTATTTTCTTTCCGAGATTTAAAAGCATTATTATAGGCACATGTCTATTTAGTTTTATACTGGTTTTTGTTTTTGTTTTTTCCCCCACTAAACTTCAAACAAGAATTTAACCTTTATAGTTTTGGTCTTTGGGACTGTCCTAACACAAATTAACTGTTAAAATTCTTATATATTCAATCTGCTAATTTTTTTTTTTTTTTTGGAGACATGGTCTTCCTTTGTTGTCCAGGCTGGAGCACAGTGGCATGAACTTGGCTCACTGTAGCTTCAAACTCCTGGGCCCCAGTGATTCTCCCACCTCAGTCTCCCCAGTAGCTGGGACCGCAGGTACATGCAACCATGCCCAGCTAATTTTTTAAACTTTTTGTAGACATCATCTCTTACCATGTTGCCCAGGCTGGTCTTGAACTCCTGGGCTCAAGTGATCCTCCCGTCTTGGCTCCCAAAGCGCTGGGATTACAGGAGTGAGCCACTGCCACACTCAGCCCAATCTGCTAAATTGTGATTAAGCAGCTAAAAGCTCATAATTACTGCTATGTAGTAGGATAATTTGAAAGCAATCAACTAAGAGGGAGACGACTAAAATTAAAAAAGATTCTAAAAAGATAAATAGGCAGTGAAGAACTATAAAAGAGCTAAATGTACATGATTCTAAAAATTAAGACATTTTATTCAAAAGTAAACAGGAACTAAAAAAACCTACTTGGCCTGGCATGGTGGCTCACGTCTAGAATCCCAGCACTTTGGGAGGCCAAGGTGGGCAGATCACAAAGTCAGGAGTTCAAGACCAGCCAGGACAACATAGTGAAACCCTGCCTCTACTAAAAATACAAAACATTAGCCGGGTGTGGTGGCAGGCCCCCGTAATCCCAGCTACTTGGGAGGCTGAGGCAGGAAAATCGCTTGAACCTGGGAGGTGGAGGTTTCAGTGAGCCAAAATTATGCCATTGCACTCCAGCCCGGGTGACAGTGTGAGACTCCCACTCAAAAAAAAAACAAAAAGAAAAAAAAAATACCTTCATGATTAGTCTTCAGAAAATCCACATAAGGATAAAATTAAACTGGTCAAGTTTCACATCTACTGTCAAGAGTCAAATCACAGCACAGATCTTTATGAGCCACTTCTAGTAGCAAGGATTTGGATTCAGGCTAATGAAATTAAATGGGATTTTTAGAGAGTAGGGTAAGGTTAAAAAACAGAAAAGGGTAAAAAAATATAAAATTATACCTACACTTCATTTATAACCATGTAAAATATTTATGTAAAAACTGGGAGGAAACAAAGAAAAGTTTAATGCTAACATGCAGGCTACATACTTGAATAATAAGTGGTTTCTCTTTGTTCTTCAATGCTTGTAATGATAATTTAAAATTGGAAGAAATAAAAAAGTAAAACTTTTAAAGTTAATTTTCATTCACTATTTCAAATCCTGTTTTATCCTGTATGACTAACC